GTTGTACTATTTTATGTTATGTTCTGTTATGTTGTTCAACGCATTTCACCTCAACTCACCACAGCTCACTTCCACTCACCTCAATTCCCCTCATCTCACCTCAACTAACCCCGTATCAACTCGTCTCCGTTCATCTCAACTCAGCTCATTTCATCTCAACTCAATTCACCTCACTTCAATTCACCATAGCTAAGGTTGTTTCACCTCATCTCCCCTTATCTCACCTCATCTCATTTAACGTCAGCTCAACCCACCCTAACTCACCTTAAGTTCTCTGAACTTACCTCACCTGAACTCACTTCAATTCACGGCACCTTAATTCACTCAACACAGCTAAACCGACCTTAATTGGTGGTCGAATTTTAAACGTTGGGCGAACACTAGTAAAATCAAATAATCCCTCGAAGACTTATTTACGTTTAATTAATTTATTTGTTGAATAATCTATCACTTCTCAACTTTATATCTTTAAAAATTGAAAAGCCTACATTAGGAGCAAGTCCAAAAAAAAACAGGTGCAGAAGTGTTTTTTTCTTTCAATATTTTACTCATTAATATTTTTTACTTTCAACGTTTATTCTTCTGGAGTCTTGCACCTTTTTTCCAACATTTCCCAATAGCACTTTCTGTAATATCAAATCTTTTTATTTTCCTTCATTAAACGGCAGGCGTTGGCGCGCTGGTACGACAGCATGGATTATGCAAATTTATACGCAATTATCGCGTTCGTCTATTTGCCAACCGAGTGGCTGATGGACCTTTGAGATTTGAGAATTTTCTTTTTACTTCTCACTTCTCAATTAATTGCGTTTTCTCCGCAGCGATTAGGGTTCTTTCTAGAAGCGCGGATGCTCAGTGGATGCCTACATTTACTGCTGTCTGTTTGGTCAATAGTTTCCGCCGAACTCTTTGCATACTTTTAGGAGTAGGCATTTTAATTTTTCCTCTACGAATACATTTAAATTCTTCATTACTAGTTTTGCTCACATTTACTTATTTGCAAAAGTTTAATTGAAAAGCGCAAATAACTGTTGTCGTTACGGATATGACTAGTTGACTTGCATTTGCTAGCCGCGCGTGACTTGGCAGACCTATTCGCAATAATTATGTAAGTATGTATATGCAACAAGTTCCGCGCACTGAGTTTGGCATGCCAAAACCAAAACAAAGAGACCTGCAGCATTTCTGGGCTGTATACCCCGCTTGACACTCTTTCGGCGCAATTTCGCTCCACTCAAACAGACTCGCTATTAAATTTCGCATTTCAAATGCCACGTTTGCACTTTTTTACGCTAAGCTGTGAATGAGATTCGTTATTTGAGTTGACTGCATTTAAATGGCAATATTAGCAAGCGAGCGAAGGCAATTTAAATTTTATTAGACCACATAATATTTGCGTTTCACTCGCCAGCGTGTCAACTGCGAGGCTACTGCGTGTCGGCGTGGGTACGCCACGCCATGCCACATTTCACATTTCCCAAAGTCAACCGTTTCCTCGACGACTGCGGTTTGCCTCACGAAACAACCAACTGCTTGCCGCTCGAATTGTTGAACGCACTGGGGCGTATGAGTAATAATTCGTTGTCGGTGCATATTAGGGATGTTAATTTTTTTTAGCTTTTTCTGATCCCGGAAATAGGAATGCAAACTTTTAAAACAATCAACAATCAGGTTGAAAACCTGCCGAAAGAGAAAAGCTTCGAACAAAGAATATTTGTTAAGGGGTGGTGCGCGAATATAAAGATCTATTCCGTACCGTGTATGCCCTGTAAATCCTTTACGGTGGTACCATGAGGGGAACGGTACCATGACGGTAGGAGGTTTAGTTTGGGTTAAAGTCTCACACTGACGAGGTTAGGCTTTCAATGCTTCCTTCTCGGACAACATGTGCTGTAATAAGTCAATTATTAAAATCGACGAATAGTTTTAAGTATATCAACTTTTGTAAACTTCTATTTATGTGTTTTTGTACAACCTACCTCTATTGGTTAGTGTTTCCGAATTAGATTCGAATAAAACGCAGTTTGATTACAAAAAAAAAATATTTATTTATCTTAAAAAGATATTTGTTAGTTTTGAAGCTTATTTTATGCGCTAAAACACTTTTTTCCCGTGGATCCCGGGATTAACATTCCTAGTGCATACACTAATATTTACATACAAGCGAGTACACAGCAGCGACACTTTTGTCCTTTGGCAATTTTCAGCTTAACACAGGCGAATGCAACGCGTAAATCACAAAACTATGCTATGACTAGAATTTTTGCTTCCACCGCGGCAAACACACGAGAGCTGAGGTAGCTGTACTATCCTCAATTGCCTACATTTGTTAGCTTTCTGGCTGCGGCCAGTCCAGGTCGTAGGCGCTGCAGTCCATTACTGTGACTTTCAACGCCATGTGGCTAATGCGGTTGTGTTGCGTGTCCTTCCGGCAGCCGCCGTTAGGTATGTTTTGTCATTGCAAAAGCGTATCGGTGGTTTCGTGTGTGTGTGTGTGTGTGCTTATCCTTTGGGCTTTCGAACGCATTGCCAACCCCACTCACTACTCATTCTCACTTGGCTCAAATGTAAATGCAAGGAGTAAAGCTTAACACACACATTCCAATCACACTTTGGCACAACTCACATATCGTCGTTTAAAGTACAAAACCGCGTATCAACAAAACTGCAAAACTGCGTATCAACAAAATGCAAAACCGCGTTTGTAATTATGTAAATTATTTTCTAGAGGAGTAAAAACACTCATATTTCAAAATGTTCTCTTTTTTATAAAGCAATCGCATTCCTGGCTGATATATTTCAGGACGAATGGATAAGGATTGAGCCAAGAGCTTGTGTGAGCAAATCAAATTTTTGTTAGCAAATGTCAGTTACGCGGTTTTTGCAGAATGACGACACGCGGTTTTGTACTTTAAACGACGATATCTAAATAGCTAAACGCAACAAAAGTTCAGCTGAGCTCAGACAATAAATCCTCTGAGAGTGCTTCACTTCACTTTACGCGCTTCACTCTGCATGGCGTCCTTTTTTTGTTTTGTAGCGCCAGCATTGCAATAGATTTGTGTACACATGCACTCGTATAGAAGAAGCATGCGTTCGTTTGGTTGTTCGCAGTCACTCATAACTAAGAAACTATTCAGCGCTTTTAATGTTCCAACAGATTGATTAATCTGTACTTTGTCCGCTTGGGAGCTCTGAACACTGGGTTAGGATGTCATGTTAGCATAGGCTATGCATGAGGGCAAAAAGATTTGTGCATATGTGCAATTACATGCCAGTAAAATGTAAATAACGGTGTAAAATTGTATGGTTTCATTTGTGAATCGCTGAATGACATATGCGCCTGGACTTTTGTTTGCACTAAACGTTGCTAAGTAGGTTGAAATTTAATAAATTACGACTGCAATTAAACTCGTTATACCCATTTCAAAAAACACAACTCAACTGGTCGCTGTTGAACATTCTCTTAATAGGAATTAGGGACTTTTAAAGTTTTTAAAATCGAAAATACTGACACAAGAACTGCTATAATACTACAGATAGTCGCCCGCATTGCCCCAAATGGAGCTAATAATTCCGTTATACTAAATTAATAAAGATCTTTCAAATGACGCCATCCTTCTTTCATTTCGAAATATTGAGTAAAACCAACGTTCTCTGCTTGGGATTTTCAAAAAAATTTAGTTCTATATGTCCAACAATATTTCTAGACAAGAACATTCATACTTTATTGTCTCGATATTGAAAGCTGTTTAGGCGCGTCTGTTAACACCAGGCGCCTAAATGCATGTGCAAATNCAATTACATGCCAGTAAAATGTAAATAACGGTGTAAAATTGTATGGTTTTATTTGTGAATCGCTGAATGACGACATATGCGCCTGGACTTTTGTTTGCACTAAACGTTGCTAAGTAGGTTGAAATTGAATAAATTACGACTGCAATTAAACTCATTATACCCATTTCAAAAAACTCAACTCAACTGGTCGCTGTTGAACATTTCTCTTAATTGGAATTAGGGATTTTTAAACTTTTTAAAATCGAAAATACTGACACAAGAACTGCTATAATACTACAGATAGTCGCCCGCATTGACCCAAATGGAGTTAAATAATACCGTTATACTAAATTAATAAAGATTTTTCAAATGGCGCCATCCTTCTTTCATTTCGAAATATTGAGTAAAATTTTATCGCTGATTTAGTAAAACTAGTGTTCGCCCAGCGAAACCACTAAACCACTAAACCACTAAAAATAAGGAGAGCAGAATTGAATTGAGCTGNTTTTCACATGCACTTCTCAACTGCCATGTAATTGAACTTTCTTAAGTTTTAATTAGATGACACTTCAAAGTATGCTCGGCCTAGTCTGATGCATACTCCGGGCACTGCTTTCGGAGTCTTTTGCGGACTCTGCATGGCTTACAATCCTGCAAATGTGGTAATAGTTGATTACCATTGGTCACAGTGCCTACCCACTACTTTTTCGCCATACATATAAATATACAGGTGTCCCCTCTCACTGAGTTATTCAAAAGCTTTTTATGCTTACCAGATACAGCGAGTGTTTCCAAGTTCAATGGTTTTTAGAGAGGCCTGTAAAATCACACTCGACTCAAATGGCCGCAGTAGAATTAAACTTTTAAATAGAACTTTGTAAAGAAGTGAGGGGGGAACGTGATGAAATTAGCCGAGGGAGCCGCATAACTCTTGGCACGAAATATCAGATGTGCTGTTTCCAAACACATCAGTGATAGATACCACAGGATTTTGAGCTAAATTATCTTAGAAAGAAGGACCTTTCTGGACTAAGCGACATTTTCGCAACATACTAGGCATGGGGCCCTAAACTAACCAGGCTTAAATTGTAGAATTAAGTATATTTTTATAAGAGTCCTATTTCGATCTTGTCTTATTTATTTCCTAATAAAAACAAATAATTCTCGCCTATTCCATTAATAACTTTACACATTTCTCTCCCCCTCTTGCAGTGTGTCTTTTAATGCGCCTTGGGGGCGGCTTACCATACGACGGCGACCCCCCGACAATGAGCGCAGCTGGCAATGATTATGCAGAACTATGCGATCTTGGACCCTCACGATGGAGTTCGCGTGGCTATTATTACGCACCACCCGCACATGCGACGGCTTTGCATCCTAGTGCCGCGTACGGCCTACAACAACCACAATCCTCATCAAGCGTACCAACCGGCAGTTCGGCCGGTCTCAGTGCGCATCCCATGCGCGCACCGAGCAGTTACGAGGCGGAAGACGTGTCCTTTGGTATGATAAGTCCACCGCCGGGTGGGGTTGGCTCGTCATCGGCTGGCTTGAGTGGCACGTACGGTATTGGTTCGCGTATCGGTAATAGTACGAGTTCGTTGCGTGGCGGTCGTTCAGGGCTCTATTACTCGCCGCCCGGTACATCGTATACGATTGTAGAGCGGCCACATTCACCGCACTACTACTACAATACGGCAGGTGCGCCAACGAAAGGCGGCTCATTGCCGGGCCGCGGTTCGTCTTACCTCTCGTCGACAGCCGCACCCACCAGCCACATGGCGGCCACTGGGGGCGGCGGCACGCTGCCCAACTCAACGGCGACGATGGGCGGACGCGCACACAGCAACATGGGCATGGCGAATGGCAATAAGAAGCGGCCGATTTCGCCAGAGCAGGTGCTACGCATGTTCGGTGCGACACAATCGTCTTCAGTTCCTACAAGCAGCTATCACTGCAGCAACGGCACAAGAGATCGCACCGGACGGCGCAGTCCAGCGAGCAGTCCACCCTCGACCACGCATCAGGTGGGTGAAAGGAATTCAGTTGAGAATTTATGAATAAGTGAATTGAATGTATTTTTCACCTTTTCTTTACAGACGTATCGTGAGCGAGATCGGGATCGTAGTATAATCAATATTCATGAATTAACCACACGTACCATAAGCATGTCGCGCGATCAACAGATCGACCATGGTTTTGGTATTTGTGTTAAGGGAGGAAAAGACTCAGGTAAGTGAAAAAAAAAACAAAAAAAAATTTTTTGGAAAATATTTATAAACATACATACATAGAACTCAAATCTTCATGGAGTTTTAAATGAATCACATGAAGTCGTTATACATATGAAGTTTTCTTTTAACTTTTTGATTGAACTTAGTAGCTAGGTTTTGTTTGCCAAGTTTTGACCAAGTGTGGTGTTACTGTACTAATAAATATTTTTCGACTAAATTTATCGATTATAAATAGTTTTTATGCTATCTACATCTTTGTGGTGCTTTCTTGTTCAAAAATATCGATGTTTAGAAATCTGAAAATATGCATAAAAAAGTACAAGAGCAGCGACTACGATAAAGTGTGATCGAAAATCATTAACAATATAAACAAACAATTTTGTTTTTTATTCGAAAAAATTCAACCTCCGAATATTTTTTGTCTATGCGAAATATTATCAAGATACTAATAATAATAATAACAAAATGGCGCTTACACATATCTTAGTGTTTGGCCGAGCTTCTCCTCCGATTTGTGGTGTGCCCCTTGATGTTGTCACACAAAGGGGAGGGACCTACAGTTTTACGCCCGCTCCGAACGGCGATTGCATTTTTATGAGAAGCTGTTTTTCTTGGAAGAAATACACTCGGAGGTTTGCCATTGCCTGTCGGGGGGCGAGCGCTGTTGCTTTGACGAGGGCTTGAACCCAGGCGTTGCGGAGTGGAAGGGCACGCTGCTTACCACTACACCACAGCGGCCAAGATATTAGTATCTGCAAAATTATTAAATATTTAGCTATTATTTTATACCTCTGGGATATTTCTGAGCGAAAAAATGACAACAGGTCTATCAAAAAGGTCCGAAAATAACCGTTAAATATCAAGATTTTTTAGTTTTAGATCATTAAAAATTTTTAATTAATATTGATTTCTACTTTTTCGATGAAGAATAATCGTTAAATTCGGAGTTTTTTATTTTTCGGTCCAATTAAATCATTATATGTATTGTGATTTTTCAATTGTTTTTCGACCAAAACTAATTGTTACTTGGTTTGGATTTTTATTTTTCTCGATCATTTTTAACCTTTATAACAGGGACTGCGACTGTATAGCCAAAATAACTGTCAAAATATGATCGCAATAATAAAAAGAAAAAATAACGATAAGAAATTTATTTAAATTTGATCGGAAAAATAGAAATCAAATTTTAATGGTTAAATTATGATTTTTATTAAGTTCCTGAAAATTTTAAATTTAAAAAATATAACTGAAATATATAAAACTAAGGATTAGTTTTGCAAAAAAAAATATCGATGAAAGTTGTTACAGAAATAGAAGATCTAAGATTAAAAAAAAAACCTTCTGTTTTGGTTTCGAAAAAGAATTGAAAAATATTATTTCATTAAAAAATATTAAACGTGTGAACCAAAACTTTAACGTCGATTATTTTTGATCGAAAAACTGCAAATACTAACTACTCATTATCTTTCGCACTGAAATATTTTCATCGAAGAACTATTGATTGAACGTAATCGAAAAATAGTAGTATGTAAATAATCGAAAAAATTTAAATGAACAATAAACAATTTTTTGCTCAAAACACGATAAGACATCGATAAAACGTGATAATTTATAAAGAATGTAGACATTTTAAGCTTAGAAATGACGAAGTCGATTGCTTGTAATCGAAAATTCGTAATTAATCGAAAAAAAAAACTAAATTTACCTTTTTTATGAAAAGACGATATAAATACGTGATATAAAAAAAAAGAAAATTTTATTATCACAAAAAGTGTGTCAAATGAGTTTAATCTTTGAATGCCTGCAAAATGTCGAAAAGCTTACTTCAATTCACCAAAAATGAAAGTAAAAATATATAAATTTCTTACTTTCACAAAGCTGTCACGTTTAAGTCTTAAATCCCTCAATTTTCGCTGCTTCCTTCGGGCGCCCTTTCCTCTGGTCTGACCTTNTCTTCTTCTTCTTTTTTGGCGCTGTAACCGCCTAAGCGATTTTGGCCGAGTTCAGCAAAGCACGCCAGTCGTTTCTCCTCTGTGCCAACTGACGCCAATTGGAAACGCCAAGTGAAGCCAAGTCCTTCTCCACCTGATCTTTCCATATAAGGAATCTAGGTGGATGAAAAGCGTGATTAAAAAGAAGAAAATTTTATTATTCAATGTTGCTGCTTAAAAACTATCACAAAAAGTGTGTCAAATGAGTTTAACCTTTGAATGCCTGCAAAATGTCGAAAAGCTTACTTCAATTCACCAAAAATTAAAGTAAAAATATATAAATTTCTTACTTCCACAAAGCTGTCACGTTTAAGTCTTAAATCCCTCAATTTTCGCTGCTTCCTTCGGGCGCCCTTTCCTCTGGTCTGACCTTGATCGACGGAGATTGCCTTTCACTGCCTTTCACAGGTTCTCCAACACGCTCCGTAGTACCCTTCAATACCTACACCATAGATATGTATGTATATGTAAATACAACATACCCACACAACTAAATAAGTGGTTGTATGTTTGTGTGCGTGTGACATATTTGAATGTAATTTGACATTCTTTGTTTTCCTTTTGCGCTTTGACGTTCTTCCTTTGGTGCATGGCAGTCAAGCGAGCAGACAGACCGTACATTTTTTTTACATGACTACACTGCGGTATTTCAAATAACACGAGCACGGTAAAGAGGGGAAGGAAGCAAAAATAATAATGATAGCAACAACAACAATAAGAGAAGCATTAACCACAAAAGTGTCAGCAAGAACAAAAATAGTGCTCGTACATACGTCAATTGCATGCGGCAAAGGCAAGCAGCCACCAGCCAACAGCCAACAACCAGCAGATAGTAGTTAGCAGCTGGCAGCAACCGGCAATGTTGTTGTCTCCTTTAGTTTCTTTCTTTTATTTCATTTTTACTTATTTATGTGTGCTGGTGTGTGTGTGTGTGTTTGTCACCCACTTTTGGTGTCCTTCGGTTATTGTTAACACACTCACACCCACACAAGTGCATGCAGAAAAACAAATACTACGAAAGTCACAGGCAGTTATATCGGAAAATACTTATTTTACAACAAAACAACGAAGCAGGGCAGAGCACAGAGCGACACAATTGCAGCGAGCCGCAAAGACCACAAAACTCAGAATGCGGGCAGAGGGTGTTGCAGTTGCAAGAAGGAGCGGGAAAGAGACGGGCAAGTGCTCATTCTCTGAGATGTTCATATNCCCACACAAGTGCATGCAGAAAAACAAATACTACGAAAGTCACAGGCAGTGATATCGGAAAATACTTATTTTACAACAAAACAACGAAGCAGGGCAGAGCACAGAGCGACACAATTGCAACGAGCCGCAAAGACCACAAAACTCAGAATGCGGGCAGAGGGTGTTGCAGTTGCAAGAAGGAACGGGAAAGAGAAGGGCAAGCGCTCATTCTCTGAGATGTTCATACGTAATACCGTCGATATGTATTACGTACATATGTATATATAAAGTGTCATACTTAGGTACTTACATGCTAAACGTATTGCCAGTTATATTTAACTGTAGCGTAACAGTTTTGTTGTATGTATTTTTATAATCAATAAATGCTATTATGGCTCGTAATGAATCGCTGTCATAAAAAAAAACATAGCGAATCAGATGTAGTTCTTTATAAGTTAATATGTACGCATGCATTAAACGCAACTTTAATAAATTTTCAAAATTTGTCATAGAATGCGCCTGTTCAGTCACTACAGCTAACACGTAACAACTGGCGACACCAATGCAGTTGTGTACGGCGGAGCTCTGACCTGCCGGCACACGCACGCACGTACGCGCAATTCCTGCCAACCTTAATGCCAAACGAGGCTTGTAACTGTCATGAATGCGTATTTAGCGGCCAAGAAGGCTTAAAGCAACATATGTATGTATGCCTGCTACAAGCGGGTCACTCATACGCCCCGTCACACCAAAGAGCGGCGGCTTTGCTTGTCTGCCTTTCGCATTGTCCATACCAGTGATGGAAAAGTCGACACAATAGTACCATTTCTGGCACTTTTATTCTCAGAGGCACTTTGAGCACAATTGAACCCGTTTTGGCACAATCGTAAATCATAGAAACTTGGCATAATATGCCAATGTGTAACAAAACACATATATTACATTATAGATTAGAAAATTACAAAAAGGTAAAATTAAAAGCACTAAAAAATTAAAATCAGGGCCGCGAGAAATATTGTGTGGCAGCTCTTGACAAAAAGCTGAATTATATTGCGAATACGCAGCACAAAAAGTAAGTTTTTGCAACAACTTACTTTTAATTCAGAATTTTTTAGAAAAAATTCTAAGTTTGCAGTTTTATAGTCCATTAAATAAATTTGTAAGTATCTGCAAAATGCCGTTGATTTTTGATAATTTTTTATTTTTTTTTTTGCTGACGGTGTCATATGTTTTCGATAATTTAAAAAACCCTCGAGCACAGTTTATATGGGAAAAGTACGTAAAATTGTAAGCTTGGAATCACTCTAAAAATTCTGAATTAAAAGTTTGTTGTGCGAAAACCTGCTGTATTTTTACATTTTTTGTACAAAGTTTTAAATGTCGATTTTTTACATATATGGTATTTGTTAAATTACTAACGAGTTAGATTTTTATATAAAATAAATAATAACTAAAACGTCAGAAAGAACGAAATTTTAATTTTGTGGCACTTTCATCTGCTTTTCGGCACTATTTATCAATACCATTAGGCATATTTTGAAATTGTTGGTCCATCCCCACCACTACTATTCACGTTTTTCTCTCTCTTCAAAAACAGTGACTCAAACAAATGACCACGTGATGTTTTTTTTTTAATTATTCGTAATATTTTTGCAGCAAAATTGTTTGTTATTTTTATATAAAAATTTCTTTAAGCAAAACCGTGTAAATTACAGTTTCGAGCTTTATACAAAATTTCAGAAAATTCAAAAAAGTTTCATCAAAACNAATTCTGAATTAAAAGTTTGTTGTGCGAAAACCTGCTGTATTTTTACATTTT